CTTCCTTTGAAGTACAACTGCAACTTTTACCATTATTTAATGTGATTAGTGCAAGGGGTCAATAAATGGGGAGAAAGAATATCATATCGTTCAAACAATGACTTGTGCCACCCTCACACATTACAATGTGTTTTGTGCCACTGGTTAGGTGGTTTTTTAAAATAAGCAACTAAATAACTATTTCTATTCCTTTTGAGAAAAGGGAAAGGATTTGTTTTTAAAATGAAACACCAGTGGTAGCTAACTACTTTTGGAGGTCTTGGAAATATAGCAGTAATTAATTATTTTTTTAAAAGTAAATCTTTAATCTTGGATGAGATCCTAAGGCAAACCCCAATATGATACTGTCTTCTATTTACATCAGTAGTTTTAATCCAATTTTGTCTATGTCATGGAGGAGGAACCTACTCCTTCAGAGGTTGCTAAACTATAGTTCCCACAATCCCTGATTGTGGATTCTTACAGCTAAGGCTGTGGGTGACTGAGGTATGTAGAGAGCTATAGTTCCCCAATTGTGGCTTAGGTCTAATCTCTACCACAGCAATCCAAGAGCAAAATATCCGTTGACTGTAAGGACAGGAGTTGAATCTGATACTGCATTATTTTAAAGCAAAAGTTTTTGGCTCTTTGAAAGTGGAAATGTGTTTCGGAATTAAAGAAGTGAGACCCTATATTTCATGCTAATTATTCAATTATGTGTGCCAAGTACAGAAGATAACACTTGAATTAATATCATTCCATCCATCGATTAGTATGTGTACAAACACAAACATTAGAATAAATCTTTCGATTACTTTTCCACACTGGAGAACAATAAATTTACTGCAATTTCATAATAAAAAGGATTATGTTTATATAGCATAAATCCATTTAAGATTTGGGTACTTTTCCCCCAAAGCATCTATGCTAATCTTACCTTGTTGGGCTTTTTTTTTAACCATCAGAATTCATATATTTACAGACAGCAACACAATCTTTTATATGGTTTTGAAGAAAAAAATGCCTCCCACTTCCTGAAAAATATTTCTATTTAAACATTAGTACCATATCAAAACAAAAATGCTAGACACAATTTTCTAAGTGAGAATAAAGCTGCAACAGTTAAGATGTCCTTTCTATCAACTTGCTTATTCCAGGTATTACCAATCTCAATTTCAGAAAATTGTTGAGAAATGGCAAAACATATTTACAATTCATAGTCACTATAATAATGTCAAGATTTAATCCAAAACACTGAACAGACTTTCTGAGTTTGAGTGTATGGGAATATCAAATCTACAATTTTACTGAGATACTTATCAGATAAAACAATTTTAATACTTTAATCTTAAAGAATGTCTATGGAATATCATTGGAACAAACAGATATAACACAGTCTCCCATTTTGGTCATACAAGAGACAAACCAAGTTTAATATATAAAATCTCCTTTTGAAAACCCCACGGTCAGTGGAGAAAAAAAATGAGAAATTATTTATCATCAGAAGACCACCACTTATGTCCTTTCTTTGCCATTCGCTGTTATTGACAACTGCAAATTCAGCAGCTAGAAATATAAGAGGATTATACTGTACAGGGTAAACCCAAAAATGAGTAAACACTAAAAGAAACAACTGAGGCAGACAAAATGTACCCGGATGCAATTATATCAAATTACCATATTTGCCGGTTTACCAGTAGAGAGCCATACGGTGAGACCACTTAAAGCCTTTGAAACTTAGATAATTCAAATCTGGATCATCAAAAGGACTTAAAAACTATAAAGCATTTTAGTAGACAGTAAATATAGAATCATGAAGTTGGAAGGGGCTTATAAGGCCAAGTCCAACCCCCTGCTCAATGCAGGAAAACAAATGACAGGATATCTGCCCAGTGGATGTCTGAATTTCCCTTGAATGCCTCTAGTGTTGGAGCATTCACCACCTCTTGAGGTAATTGGTTCCATCGCCGTACTGCTCTAACAGTACAGTTTTTCTGATATTGAACCCAAATCCGGCTTCCTGTAACTTGTGCTCACTATTGCGTATTCCACATTCAGGGATAATCGAGAACAGATCCTGTCCTTCCTCTGTATGAGAGCCTTTCAGCTATTTGAAAAGTGCTCTCATCTCTCTCCTCAGTCTTCTTTTCTCAAGGCTAAACATAGTGATTATTAAAATTCTGCAGAGTTTAGAACTCATTGCTTTTGATGATTCAGTGACTTGGGCAGATAATAAACATGGTCACAGTTAACTGGACTGCAGCGAATAGGACCACCTGGCCATGGAGACAGGTGTTAAGAGTCTGATTGCTTGCTGGGCCTTGTAAGAGAAAAGCAAGTCTGTGTGGTCTTGAGAAAGTTAAACGTTGCCACAGCATTCCTTGAAAAAGAGAATAGTACTGAGAGATAGAGTATACAATCTTAGTTCCCACACAAATCACGCTTCTTAATACACATGGAGTATTCTCATACAGGTGAACATTTGTAGTTAAGAATTCCATAAAGAATGCTCACATATTAGCACTATCTGTCAAGATTTTGAACACCTTCCCATACATATGCCCTTATTATTTATGTCCATATTTAAAAAAGCATTTAGTCTATCAAGCATCTCCTTAATGGTTCAAACCTTGTAATCATATAGGAGGGCTGCCTAGGTATAACATTCAAACGTCCCCAGTCTTAAAGATACAGGAAGCTGTTAGTTACACAATATTCATACGTTCTTATATTCAGTTCTGTAAACGACTTGGGCCCAAGCTGCCCCAAGGACTGTGTCTCCCTTTATGAGCCGGCCCAGGCATTAAGATAATCAGAGGAGACCTTTTTCGATCTTGCCACCTTCACGGGTGCATTTGGCGAGGATATGGAAGAGGGCATTTTCAGTTCCTGCTCCCAGATTTTGGAACTCCCTCCCACAGGAGGCCAGGCTGCCCCCATCTTTGCTATCCTTCTGCAAGCAGGCAAAATCCATTTGTCTACTGGCAAGCTTTTCCTGAGTGACTGGCTGCCTGAGTGCGGTTTCTAAATGGATTCTTGTGCCTTACTGCTTTGAATGTGCTTTTGGTATTGCTTTTTCTTAATGTTTCTTAAAGTGGTATTTGTTTGATACTTTTTAGTACAGTGGTACCTCGCAAAACAATTACACCTCAGAACAAGGAATCTGCATGATGATGACATTTTGCGACCGCCATTTTGCTTTGCAAAACAGTGATTCCTATGGGGGAATTTCGCTGGACGGTGATTTGGTCCGTGCTTCGCAGACTGTTTTTTCACAAGACGGCGATTTAGAACAGCTGAGTGGCGGTTTGCAAAATGGCTTCCCTAGTGGCGATCTTCGCAAAACGGGTGTTTTCGGGTGAAAAATGGCTTCCCTAGGGGCGATCTTCGCAAAATGGGTGTTTTCAGGCCCATTTTTCGCAAGACAGCGATTTAGAACAACTGATCAGTGGTTTGCAAGGTGGCTTCCCTATGGGCGATCTTCGCAGGACTAAGACAGCGATTTAGAATAACTGATCGGTGGTTCGCAAGGCAGCTTCCCTATGGGCGATCTTCGCAGGACGACAAGTTATTTTCCCCATTGGAACACATTAAATGGGTTTCAATGCATTCCAATGAGGAAAGGTTTTTCACTAGACGATGTTTTCGCCAAACAGTGATTTCAATGGAACGAATTAACATCGTCTAGCGGGGCACCACTGTATTTGTATATTACTGTTTTAACTTCAAATATTGTCTGTAATGATTGTCTTTGGTCCTTTTTAAGGAGAATGGCATGGCAGTAACATTTTAAATAATGAACATTCACATTGAAGCTGTATGAGAGTGCTTGCTAATTGGAACCATAGCTTATAAGGGTTCCCAATCATGGAAACTGCAAGTCTGTTTCTCTGTTTCAGGCATAATGCTTGTATAGGTGTTGTGTACTCTTGTGATTATGAAATAATAATAGATATAATATTGTGGTTTTACAGAAAATAATATGCTGCATTAGTCTTTCAATGCACAAAGATATTCAACGTATGAAGAGAAAAAGCAGGCATATGATCCATCCACAGGAACAAAATTGTGGCTTGGAGAATATTTTACTGGGATGCCCAGTGGGATGTAGGTGGATAAAGTGACAAACGAGGACTCAGGAGGCCTAGTTCAAATCCTCACTCAACCATGGATGCTCACTGAGGGTGTACCCAGTGGGATGTAGGTGGATGAAGTGACAAACTAGGACTCAGGAGGCCTAGGTTCAAATTCCCACTCAACCATGGATGCTCACTGAGGGTGTGGAAGCCACATTTACCTTGAAAGCCCTGTTAAGGTCACTGTAACTCAGTTCCGACTTGACAACACATAACATAATACTACTTTTACTAGCTCCCTAAAAACAGCTACAAAGACGGCAAACTTTTAAGTTCTAGCAGAATTCTTCATTAGGGAAAGGGAGGGACCAAGGGAGGGCAATATGGACCTTGCAGTTACAAATGAGAAAAATATGTCCTTCTACAGTCTCTTCTCTCCTTGCAGACCGAACACTGGGCTGGATAACCTGTGGACCTATCAATTGCTGTGGATGTAGAACACAGTATCCTCTGCTGGCTTGGAGCCAAAATACATGGAATTAAAATTAAAACTACCACCACCACCACCCCGGGTGAGGGATGGAATGCAGAAAGTCAGAGTAAGCTGGGTAACACCACAATCCAGCTTATAACGACATTAACTATGGCACAACTCATTGAGTTTGAGTATTCTTTTTGCTGTTATGGCACAACAGGGTTCTTAAAACCTCTCTATTTTCTCTAGGCCCTTCCCCCTATAGAAATTAAAATGGGTTGATAGTTATTAAACCACACCTTACATAATCCCATACTAATAAATGCATTAACACAAGTGTTTATGACAGCTAAACCGACCAAGCCAAAGGTTTTCATCGTTCGGCTTTATAAAGAACACATATGAAACTCCCCTTTTAAATTTCTGGACACATGCTGTTTCATAAGGAAACTTAGTGAATATCACCCTACCTGACTGCATTGCCAGTGCTGTCTGGATCTTGCGCCGTCACTGTGCCCAGAACAGTTCCAATCTTGGCATTTTCGTAAACGTCCATGACATAGGAAGGCAGAGTGAACAATGGAGGCTCATCCACATCCCCAACAATGATCTTCAACATAGTTACATCTTTAAAAGGTCCTAAGTGTGAGAAGCGGAAATCGAGGTGGGTATTTGCTCCTTCTATATTAAGAGTATAGGATTTCTTTTTTTCATAGTTGAGTGGCTGTGGGAAGAAAAGAAATGCAGCATTACCATTGTGAACTGGGCCTTTGTTGATTTCTCACATTGTACTCCTACTTTGACTTCTCCCTGCCAGATGAGCTTTCCGGCTCCAGTGTCGTCTACAGGATTCTAACAGCCTTAGTGACAACTGCCTTTCCTACACTTCGTGTGTGCCAGCTTCATACAGCATCTCTTATGTTTTCATAATATTTTATTATGCCTCTACTTCCTCTTATTTGAAAATGCTAGGCAAAATTCATAATAGCATCTGACTCTGGAAAGAAATGAATGTTCTCAGCGTATTGTTGGACAATCAATACGCCTCTGTCAATATTGTATAATAAAGAAGAGGAACCCTTCTTTCTGAAGCACAGAGGGAGGAAAGTACAAGGCCATGCTTGTTATATTGCCACATCTGGCCTTGCTAACCAAGGAAGAGTGTAACAGAATTTATTTAAGGCTGCCATACATCTCCCCAAAGCTGCTTCTGCAACAGTGACCTCAACACCCACTCAATTATCAACAGGGCAGTAATGACCATTACCAGTTGGGGCAAGTAGGAACAGTATGATGCTTATCTCCAAATGATATGATAAAAGCTAGACCGCCTCGCCCCCAATCATTTGCTGTGCTTGGGAGCTGGGAGAATGCTTAGGTCATGTGGTTTTCTTGAGCTGAATAATTTATTTACAAATGGTAGATGTGTAGCTATATTAGTTTGTTGCTGCAAAATTATAAACAGTCTCATGACAGAATCCCCTTATTGAATGTGATTCTGTAAAGCTAATTTCACAGGCATTTCTACCAGGTTAGGTCAGCTACTACACTTCCTGGCACTCACTGGTCAAGCAAATAATGGAGTGCCCCATTAAAATGCCAAATAAATGACAGATGAAGAACAAAAGGAATTTTATTGACACATTTTCCCCTACAAGACTGGAACTAACAAATCTAAGGTGTAAATGCATGTGCATTTCCTTCTGAGAAATGCTCACAGGTTGCTTTTCAATAACAATACATAAAATTGGGATTTTATTATGAAGTAAGCACTGAACTGTTGTCCTCAGTTGGCAGAAATGTATTTATGTACAGACACATTTAGGGTCCAACTATTTATTACAGATAGCTTGCCACTAAAAGAGGGGATTTCTTAAGAGTTGATAGTGTGGACTGTCACAATAGGAGTTTTGCTTTCTGAGTAGCCTTCAGGACAAGAACACATTTTTTTCTTTGTCATTCTAATTTCTCAGATAGAGCAGATCATCTGAATCACATTTTTGAACACCATCATAATTTCAATTGTAATCACTTTTCATTTCTAAAGATGGGCTATCTCTAATGACCAGTTTTGCCTTCACATACTGTTGCAGAAAAAAAATGTATGAACAGTGGAATTGTGAAAAGTACAAAAACAGCTGTGTGACCGTTCTTTGTGAATTTTAAATGCATATAAGTACAGCTACAGTTGTCAACAATCTACTCCACTGTTTGTTCGTTTATTTAGTAACTTGTTCATAATGTGCTGTCAAGGCACATTCAATGTTATAGCAACAATGATAGGGTTTTCAGAGTTTTACCACTCCCCCATGAGAAATTTTCCACAGTCAAGCAGACATTTGAATTCAAGTCTCCTAAGTCTTGATCCATCACTCTACCCACCACAGTACACTATCCACCATACTATAGTGGCATGAAAACATGTATTCACTGCACATGCCTTTATCTTGCTTATCCTTGAACTTGGGGTGATATATACTGCTCTTTTGCTGTATACTACAAAGTAAATCAAGCTGAGAGCAAGTGAATAGCCGGGGACCACCCAGTGACTTTCATGTCCCAAAGAAGATATGCACATAGATCTCCCAAGTCCAGTCCAGAATTTCAAGCACTACATCACATGGGTTGCCTCAATAAAATTGCTCTTGCTGAAGACATATACGATAGTAAGGTCTGATATGGTTTGATTGAGGTGACTGGGGACTTTGTGATCAACTAATTGCATAACATAATACAGACATTTACATTTACTCTGAAATATGGAACTTGGATAGACAACCTGGATACAGAAAGACAGATGAAATCTGTTTCATATTTCTTCATTACTTAATTTGTTCAGCTAACCAAATATTCCTATTTTCTAATGCATTTCAGAGGAAAAACTTTTCTTGAACTGTCAAATCTCTTGGTGAAATAGGGAAAACATAAAATGAATATATTTCGCTTCCTTGAAAAACAATGTAATTTAGAGAATATTGCTGTCCCTAACTGCAGCTAAATCATTGCATACGTATCACTGACTCACCGCCCCAAGGCTTATGTATTATATTATAAATGATGTGAAGAAAAGATGTCAATATAGACTGCTACAAAGCAGAATAATTTGCAGGGAAACAATTTACAGCATTAACTACAAGACCAATCTTCAGTCCTTCTCCGATTACATGGAAGCCTTATTCAGTCATTAGGTCTGGAAATGTGTAATTGTGGTAGAGGACAGGAGAGTGCCTGTATGATCAGTCTGCATGTCCAAAGCTGATATGGAAAGAAGGCAGACGTTCACACATCCCTGGGCCCTAGGAGCCTGAATGCTAAGCCAACTTTCTCAGTGGCTCAAATCAAATCATTTGTGATCCTCCTTCTTCAGTTGCCTAACCATAAATGAGTGATAAAAGCAGTAACTTGGTAGCACCATGAAAATACACTGTTTTGCACATTAAAAGCAGTGTGTAAATAGCAGTCCTCTTGTACACATTGGTTCACAGTGTTATATTTTTCTTCACGTAGATACAAGTTCATGGTCATTAAATCTGGGCTATACATTCAGCAAAATAGCTGCCTTTTACATAGCCAGACATTTTTATGATAATGAGAAAGATTGTTTCTTTTACCAACAGCCTTTCTATGTGTGATGGTGCACCCACATGGAAGCATTTAACAGGACAATTGTGAGACTTAATGAGGAAGTCCCACAGAAGTGAACAAGGTTGTTTTATAGAAAGCATGACACTGGAGTATGGATGTTAAGTAACCATTATTTCTTTCCTATTACATTAACCTCTTCTCCCAAATGTATTGAGTGGCTTAGGTACACTAAAAGGCAATCTCCTCATCATTCCAGAAGTCCACAGTTCTGAGAGGCACCAACTGGTTATTCAGGACTATTAACATTGAGCTCAGTCAAAAGTCATTATATGCCAAAAAAAACTGGCTTGAAATAGGTTGGCCCAAGGTACTCTTATGAAGTAAATGCTGGTAGACAGTGCTAAGCTCAGTTTTCTATAGTGCTCTGGACTGGCAAATTTCAGAGAGAGGAAGTTATATGCAAAGATGTGTGTTCACAGGTTTCAGCTCAGGACGTTTTCTCATTCCCACTGGCCATTCCCAAGATTGGGAACTGCTTGCCAAACGTCCTCTCCTTCTTGTCCTCCTAGCAGGCACACATTGTTCTTCTCAGACAGCGTGTGCCATCAGCCCAGTTAATAACTGACTGGAGCAGTTGTTCCTTTTCATTGATCTGTGTGTGCTTTTAATTTGTTAATAACACTTGTTTTTATTTGAATTTAACTATACGTATCTGCCTTCACTGCTAGTTTTCCAAAAAGAGGAAGGAAGGAAGGAAGGAAGGAAGGAAGGAAGGAAGGAAGGAAGGAAGGAAGGAAGGAAGGAAGGAAGGAAGGAAGGAGAGAGGGAGGGCATCAAATTCAGCAGGTGTGACAATTGGAGACTAAAACTATGAGCACAGAAAAGGAAACAGGAGTAGGAGTCCTTGAAAAATAGTCATGGTATTGACAGAATACTAGAGACATTGCCTGATAACCAGTCCACATATAGATCTGAAGCATTGCTATGGAAACAAGCTCAATAGTAACCAATGATAGCTCATATTCCTCTTTATATCCTACAGCAGTGGTTCTCAACCTTGGAACCACAAATGTTCTTGCAGTACATCTCCCAGAAATCATGGCAAGCATGGGTCATGGTGAAGGCATCTGGGAGTTTTAGCCTAAGAACACCTGGGTACCTAAGGTTATGTACTACTGTTAAGAGTCTTGAGAACATCATGCTTCTTCCTTTGACTGGTTCAGCAAGAAGTCCTTGTCAAAGAAGTTCAAGGTGGACAGTAAAAATATTTTCTCCATATTTTATTCCTCTGCACACCAGGAGAGTTGTTACTTTATAGAGGGAATAATATTGATCCTTCAGGGAATGTGACTAGAGGGGCAATGTTGATGGTTTCCCAACTCAATCACGAAGCCACCAACCTTTCCAAACCAGAGAACTTTTTTAAAATAGATCTTTCTGTTTGTTTGGCTAACCTGGTCAACATAAATGGAGAAGCCACCAGTATTTCCAGCCAAGCAAGGCCTAAATGGTTCAGTGTCCACGGTGCTGCCTCATAACCTTTGCATGTTTTATATGCTATTCCTTTGATGTAATTCAGGAGAAAATAGAAGACAGTACTTATGTATTCCTTTTATTCTAGGTAGTTTGTGGAATGGCAATGAACGGGGTGCACATAGAATGATAAAACAGCAAGTGGGGGTTTTAGTACATTGCTCTAAAGGCCCTGGTAGGCAGAAGAGCAGCTTATGAATTCTTTAAATAAAACAATACAAAAATGTATGTAAATTATGAGCCATTCTGAGTTCTTATGAAATAGGGGAAGATACAAATCAATTCAAATAATATTTATTCCTCTGCATGGAAATACCATGTCCAAATCATGCCAGGTCAAACTTTGCCGAACTGCTTATTTTCAGCTTATTCAAAGTGTAACACTACCCCAGCACCACCACATGGCCTTTTCTGTAATTATTGCAACAACATTTACTTGATTGCAACGTCCACTGAACTCACTGAGACATACTTCAGAGTAGACATGAGTAAAGACTATGCCATCAGTCACTTACGTCTCCTGATATTTTCTGTTGTGATATACAAACAATCTCTGTATGCTTTGAACATAAGAATAAAAAGGGCAGCATAAAATATATTTATTATAATACATGATTAATACAAATGGATAACCTTCTGATTAATGAATAGATTGCATTTATTACAACTGCAGTCCTCTTGCCATGCTTTTAAAGAAAACAGAGCCTTACTAGCTTTATGGATTGTGATTCTGCAAGGACTCTGTGAGAGTTTGAAGCAATCTCTATCGATGCATTAAAAATCAGAAGCTCACTTGCATCAGCTTTCACATTAGGTGTCATGCAAGTGTAACAAAAACAAAAATAAAAACCCAAGAATGGCAGACAATAAATCTTGGATCTTGCTAAGAGAACTGCTCTATGCAATATATTCTGCTTGGTAATTTTGATGTAACTCTCTGTACATGTTTCCTTTGTATCTACAAGAAAATGCTTTGAGCAGAGCCTGGAGATCATTGAATTTTAAGAAAATCAGTTAGGATTGTGTGAATGTTTGGGCAGGGACCAAGAAAGAAGAGGAGGAGGAGGAAGAAGAAGAAGTCATATGTTCTGGAAATCCTATAAAGCATAAGTTCATATGCATCCTTGTACGAAGGAACATATGGGAGTGGGAGGATGCTGAGGACAAGAAAATGCATATATAATTTTACATATCCCTCACATATTCTACATCTCACAGGCATGATGGACATGCCACCAAATCCTGCCATGTCTATTTGATTTACAGAATGTGGAATATGTGAACTAGCCCTTATTAAGGATTCTTTGTTTCAGTTTGAGAACACACTAAACACAAACTGTTGAGAACTTGAAATTAACACATTAAAAGTAACACTGTTACCTGTGACATGTTACTTTTTAAAGCAATGAGGAATAACAATACTACTTTGTTCAGGATTCATGGCTACTTGGTTAGCCTAATTGTAACGAAAATCAGTGGTCTTTGTTACCACATACTGTACCTTAGTGCAGAAGACATCTGGTGGTTCTCTTTTATCTCTGTTAAATAAAAGTTTGGTGCTACAGTGGGGTCTTGACTTAAGAACGGCTCGAGTTAAGAACATTTTGACTTAAGAAGCACTCTCATAGGAAAATTTTAAGAAAATCATTTAGGATTGTGTGAATGTTTGGGCAGGGACCAAGAAAGAGGAGGAGGAGGAGAAGGAGGAGGAGGAAGAAGTCATATCTTCTGGAAATCCTATAAAGCATAAGTTAATATGCATCCTTGTATGAAGGAACATATGGGAGTGGGAGGATGCTGACCAAGAAAGAGGAGGAGGAGGAGAAGGAGGAGGAGGAAGAAGTCATATGTTCTGGAAATCCTATAAAGCATAAGTTCATATGCATCCTTGTACGAAGGAACATATGGGAGTGGGAGGATGCTGAGGACAAGAAAATGCATATATAATTTTACATATCCCTCACATATTCTACATCTCACAGGCATGATGGACATGCCACCAAATCCTGCCATGTCTATTTGATTTACAGAATGTGGAATATGTCATATGTTCTGGAAATCCTATAAAGCATAAGTTCATATGCATCCTTGTACGAAGGAACATATGGGAGTGGGAGGATGCTGAGGACAAGAAAATGCATATATAATTTTACATATCCCTCACATATTCTACATCTCACAGGCATGATGGACATGCCACCAAATCCTGCCATGTCTATTTGATTTACAGAATGTGGAATATGTGAACTAGCCCTTATTAAGGATTCTTTGTTTCAGTTTGAGAACACACTAAACACAAACTGTTGAGAACTTGAAATTAACACATTAAAAGTAACACTGTTACCTGTGACATGTTACTTTTTAAAGCAATGAGGAGTAACAATACTACTTTGTTGAGGATTCATGGCTGCTTGGTTAGCCTAATTGTAACGAAATCAGTGGTCTTTGTTACCACATACCTTAGTGCAGAAGACATCTGGTGGTTCTCTTTTATTTCTGTTAAATAAAAGTTTGGTGCTACTTAGAGCAGTGCACAAATTGCTTGCCACCTACCATGCTGAAATACACACCCTGTGTTATTCAAGAGCGCAATGCTCTACCTACTATAGTAGCTCTACCTACTATAGTACATGCGGCTAGAAGTCATACTTCTGAGTAAACTCTATACCTAGAAGCTCTTGGAAAATGTTGCTGCAAGCTGGAATCAACTTGACAGCAAGTAATTATTATAATTAAGACCCAAATTAAATACAATCACAGCAGTTCCAAGGAACGATTCTGATCAATGTAAGGAGAGAAGGACGAGTTATTGTTTTTCAAGTATGGGTGAGGAAAGCAACATCTTGTCACTTTGTACCCTTATCCTCTAGAGTTCTTCTGCCAGCTAGATTATTTCTTCAGCTAAACTTCAGTAATCCGGTTTCTTTTGCTGGGGGCAGGAGAATAAGTCATGAGTATGGATATCATGATTTGGGGGGGGGGGAATGTTCTGCACTCCTCATACAGGTCCCTGTCTCCCTTTAAAAACTGTACCATAAAAGGAAAGCTTGGCCTTCTATTAGGAAGAGAGAGGTAGTAACTGTTGAGGGCTGGTGAGCAGCACTGAGGTGAGGGGGAACAGAACTGTTTATGCCATATATTTTTTGTATTCAGGTGTATTAGAGGACACTGTCTCGCTGACTTTATTGAAGTTCCACTGCTAATCTGGTTGTTTTCTTCACATGGAAGGAGGGGCATCATGTTTGCCTCAGGTAGAAAAATGTCTTGAGCTAATTCTCTTTTCCACTTTGTACCTGATAAGAGTGATTCTGCATTTAAGCACCAGAATTTGACTGCTACCTCCAGTTTGGCTACTGTGCATCAAGGATATAAATCCTCACTTGTCTTGTCCTTGTGTGAGGACAGGAAACTGCAACATTGTTCTTCATACTTGCGAGATGGCAAAATACTTCCTCAAAAATGAGCAAAAATGCACGCACAAAAACTATAATATTTTAAGCAAATAAGACTAGTACAGATAGAACAACTTGCACAGAATGACACAGTGAGTGCTGCTGTGTTGGGTGGATTTTTAAGAGTTAGAAGGTTAGAACTGGGAAAAGAGTTTGTGTCTGTTCTAACAATCAGTCGGTGTTCTGTGTTTGCAGTATGCCCATGTGTTTCATTTCTCAAAGGACCCAAGTTTTGCACAAAGAGTTTACAGAAATTACAGAGGCCTTGATAGGAAAGAATAACACTCCTTGTCTTGCTCTTGCCTGGAGGCAAGGAATCTCACAGGGCTTAAACATTCCTTTTCAAGGTGTCTCATCAAGTTGAGATAGCCTAAATTGGTGAGAACAAGGAATTTAGCAAATATTCTTTGTATCTCTGGTGTGTTTAGGATTACAGGTCTAGAAGCATCAAGTATTCTTTCCCACAGTGACCTCTTCAAAAGTTTCGCTTACCTTCTTCAAAGAAATAATGCCCTCCCGTGTTTCTTTGTCAGTTGATATGGAGAACACTCCAGAGCCATCCCCATTTATGATGGTATATTTCATGTCTGCATTTGACCCAGTGTCTGCATCATTAGCCTTGATCTTGCCCACCGCAGAACCGACTTGGGCTGACTCAGGAACGTATAGCTGATAATGTTCTGGAAAATAAATCGGAGAACATTTCTATCTCCTGATTCAGGAGGATTTCAAGTTACCCAGCACATATTCTAAATAGGACACATGACTAGCAATGAAATATAACCAATATTATTTCACTAATCTACGTTTATACGGGCAAATTATGAAAATACTGATTCCCTCATGTCAGAATGCAAAACACTATGCTCTGGGAAGTAATAGGAACAGAAGAACTCATAACATTTGTTGGCAAACTGTGCTGCTGAAGTTCAGCAGTGACCCAGGAAACCTTTAATTAGAGCAAGTATTTTGATTTGCTTTAAATAACTTGTAATAAGTTGGCAAACAGATTCATCAGCAAACCGGACGACGGAGCAAGGGGATCAAAGCAACCAAATTGCTTGCTTAAAGCTGGGTTTTCACCAGCATGATTTGTTGCCAAATTTTGTTGAGGGGGGTTAGTAGTGAAGTATGTACCCTGTGAGGAATCTTGGTGGGGTCGTCCCTTGCCAACTTTATTTGGTCACTCCTGCTTTTGTTGCCAACAGGAGCTGCGTAAATGAAAGTTGAAGGCAGAAATCCTTCCCACCTGCTTATTCCTAGAATACACTGTTCTGTGATGCACTGGCCATAATAAATGATCACAACAACCACTGATAAACGTGGCCCCAACAAATCACTGTATTCTACCAGTGGCCACCATGTGGCCCATGGGGGCATGCATCCAACCCCCTGAGCCCAAAGGGCAACTCCTCAGAACTGCTGGAGCTCCCAGCACACTGGCACTGTCACATTTTGGCCTGAGAAAACATTTTTGGCTCAACACGTTCCTGTGTATCCTCTAAGGGGTGTGAGAGTCAATTTTCCCGTGTTCTGAGGGGCTGTCAACACACTTGTACCCCCCAAATGATTTTTAATGTTTTAAAAAAATTCTGCACACCAGAAGATTCAAGGGGGATTTTTCAGTTTAACCTCCACATTTTTTGTAAGAGACATTTTTTGGGGTGTGTGGTGGGGTGAACCTTCAAAGTCCAGGGATATGTATGAGCAGCCTATGGACTGCAGGAGTTTGCCAACCTGATTCTAATGCATTCTTCCTCAACCTTAGGTCCTCATATGTTTTTGGATTTACTCTCATCTTCCTTGGCTACTGGTCAGGATAGATGGAAGTCGAGGGTTGGGAAAAGCTAACCTAATGCTTTGCAAAGCCATCCAAGCTGCAAGAAGGACTTTTTTTTGTTGTTTTTTTCTTTTTCTTTTTCGGTTCTTAAAATACCAAGCATTTTCCAGTATTACATAGAAGACTGTGTATTTAGGCTGTGGCATTTTAAAGCACAGGAGCAACATTTTAAATCAACATAAAGCATCTGAGATCTTCACTTTCCTTTCACAGAATTATTTGACATTCACAACCAGAACAACATGTATATCTTGGCAGCCTCGGGAGAAAAAATAGATATATAAAAAACACTTCTGCAGTCTCTTCATTCTCTCCTCCCAAATGGTCAAGGAAAGAACGACCGTAAATCTCCCCAAGTTAAAAGCTAAGCAATTTAAAAAGCCTGGAGTGAGTTCTCCTCTCACATTTATGTGTCTTGCAATTGTGAGGAACGTTACCACACAAAGCTTTGTGGTACTCAGTCAAACCAAATTATATCTTAAATGAACATTCATGCACTCAGTAGCTGACTCTACTATTAAAAGAAACAAAAGCTTAATAGCCATGGGGCTGAAATTATAGTAGTCCTGACTGCAGCAATACAGTACAGATAACCACTTTGGCTGCCCCGAGGAACATGGGCTGCAGAACTTAAAATTGCAGAATTATTTTAAAATTTAATATCAAAAAGAAATAATGCAAACAGAAGGGTAGAAATCAACAAGGAGACCAGTAAACTGTAACAAAACCAATATATACTCATCTGCTACAATATACATACAACCAGTGTTTATCAATCAGATAATAATAATGAAATAAAAAAAAGAAAAAGAAAAAAGCAATCTATTATATGTCTCTGGAAAATTGGAAAATACCTCTACAGATCCAGTTGTTCCTTTTCAAAGACCAGAATCCTATGCATATATAATAATAATCGTGTGCTGTCGAGTCAATTCTCATTTATGGTGATCTCTTTCAAGATTTTCTAGGCATACTCAGAAGGTGGTTTACCAGTTCCTTCTTCTGGGGCACTTCTGGGACTGTGCAGTTTGCTCAGTGCTACACAGGCTGGCTCTTCTGGGATGTAAAAGTGGGGAACTGAACTCCTAACAACTATATTTGGTGTAAATCTCCCTAAACGCAGTGCTATTGATTTACAAGTAAACATACATGAAAGCCAGTGTAGTGTAGTGAGTAGAGCGCTGGACTAGAACTTTGGAGACCAGGGTTCAAACTCATGCTTGACCATAGAAACACACTGTGGGAGTGGAAATGGAAATGAACATATCACATACTCTGAAATTCCTACAATGGCCACCTCCATAATCAGATTTGACTTGACATAACATAACAAAAACAACATGCACTGGATGAGTCTATGATTCTCATATGGTATGTAACTTTTAGCATTTTCTTCTGTTTCTCAGATGTTGTTAAGGAGAATTCAATTCATGATAAGTTCCTTTGCCATTCTAAATAAAGCCCCACCCTTAGAATGGCTTTTAACCAGTGGTCCCCAACCTTGGGCCTTCAGATGTTCTTGGACTTCAACACCCAGAAATCCTGGCCAGCAGAGGTGGTGGTGAAGGCTTCTGGGAGTTGTAGTCCAAGAACATCGGGAGGCCCAAGGTTGGGGACCACTGCTTTAAACTATACACTTGTCTTTCAAAATATTCAAACAGTATATCCATTAGATAGAAAGGAATAGCAGCTACATTTCCTGGTTTCTGTTCTCTCCTAATTATCTTTAATATTGGTTATATTAGGGCCAGCCCATCATATCAGGGGCAGTCTGCTCACCCTGAAATGGCAGGCTAATATCCCCTCCCCGCATTCATGGCATGAGCTGCTCATGGGACAAACCCATTAGCTGTTAAAACCATGTCGATTTTATAAAGTAGTAAAGTCTGTTCAAATCTTCTAAGAAAACACTGCACAATTTAGGAAATAAAATAGAGCAAGGTGAAAAATTAATAAAACAGAAAACATATCCAACAATTTTTGCAGTTAGGCCCCTCCATGAATTTCTGAATTACGTTTCTAGGCAAGCTTATCTCGGCATACTCTGACTTGCTTTAAAATTGTGTTGTAAAGACACTATGTATGAGCACATCATTCCAGGTAAATAGGAAAACACAACTGATTGCATCCCATTCTCATTGGGATGGATGTATCTCTCTACATCCAAGCTTTAAAGTAACTGGTCAAATGCAACAGTTACATGTCACCAGTTATATGGAGGTAGCAAATAATCCAGTCAATTGTTGCTAGCAGTTTGTTGTGTTAATTCTTAAACTGTAGCCTGTTACCAACAGTTCTGAGAAACACAGGGAAATACCTTATAACAGGGGTTCCCAACCTTTTTCACCCCATGGACTGGCTGGGGAAGGTGGGGCATCCCCGCGCTTGTGCGCATGCATAAACGAGCGCTCTCTCTCACTCTCGTGCGCATGCACAAATGGCGGCACGGTGCTTATACGGGCGCTTGCTCACACACATGCAAACAGTGGCATGGCACTTGTGCGGGCGAACGAGCACTCTCTCTCACTCTCGTGCACATGCACAAATGGCGGCATGGTGCTTATACAGGTGCTCGCTCGCACGCATGTGCAAACAGTAGCATGGCACTTGTGCGGGCATGCTTGTGCGCATGCATAAACAGCAGCACGGCGCTTGCATGGGCATGCTGGAGCACACGCGCAGGCGTAAACAGGCTGTGCAGGGGTAAGTGCATGTGGGAGGAGCACATGTGCAGACGCAAACAGGCTGTGTAGGGGTGAGTGCATGTGGGGGCGGGTGGTAGGTCTGTCTTCGCAGCCCGGTCCAGCTCAGTCCATGGACCAGCACTGGGCCACGGACCGGGAGTTGGGGACCTCTGCCTTATAATATACTTTTAAAGGTATCCTGACAGGAACTGTTCAGGTTTTATGCCATTTTCTTATGAGTCAGAAATAAGAAATAAAGTATTATTTTGTCTTTTTCTAAATATTTCTACAGTGCAATATCACAATTGGCCACTAGTTGGAAACAGAGCATTTCCATGTACAGTGGACCCTCTACTTACGGAATTAATCCATACTGAAATGGTCGCTGCAGGTCAAAAAGTCTGTAGGTCGAGTCTCCATTGACCTACAATGCATTGAAAACTGATTAATCCTGTAACCGGCCGTTTTTATTCCATTTTTGTTCCATTTTGTTTTTTTTTCTGGTCTGTAAGTCGATTCTCCAGCTGCAAGTCGAACCTAAATTTTGCGGCCAGAGAAGTCTGTAACTGGCCACTAGTTGGAAACAAAGAGCATTTCCATGTACAGGTATTTCTCAAACCCATTGGTAACAGCAAAACTATGCTTTAATAATTTAAGGCTTAAACAAATTTCTTGTACAATTATAACAACAATAGTGATAACTGCAGTCTGATGTCTAGAAATAATGAATAATGCAAAAAGTTCCTTTTCAAATGCAGTCTTCCAAGCTCTGCTTCAGATAACAAGATAAAAATCTGCCTTATGGGCCTAGTCCAGTTCATCTGACTTTTGACCCCACTAACCTGTATTCACCTCTTCAGCTACACAGACTGTGTGCAATACTGTTTTGGGTACTGGAGGAGGGAAACTCTGGTTCAAATATTTATTCAATGAGAAGCTTCCTGAATGACCATCCATTACTCACTATCTCCACACCTCATCTATTTCACATCTACAACTCATGAACAGACCTACAATCCTGAATCGGAATGGGATGGAGACATTAACTAGATGTACATAATGACACATTCATTTGCACTGAAATAAAAAATTTAAGCTGCAGCTCCAGGTGTATGCATTACGGACAAGGGCTACCATTTGTTATGTTTAACTAGTG